GTATGTGCATTGCAAAAAATTAGTGATGAAGTTGAGTTTGACCTTTGATGCTAAAGATTACAAAGCATCTGGCAAAAGAAGGAGAAAACTGAAACTGCTGGGAAGTAAACCATTAGTGAATAAACATAATTGTAAAGGGAGAAACATCGTCAATGCGTCTCATAAAACTACTACTTCCAGGTTACAATACTATTCACTACGACTCGGTTGAATTTGATTATTCTGAATTTATACATCTGATATAGGTCAAAAAGTGTGCATAAGATTCCTCATTTATTAACTCTATCTACAAAGAAAATGGAAGAAATGGAAAAGGTTGATGGTACTATGAATGTTAAGGAACAAAACTGGAATCTTGAGACGTACACTGAAGATGATGCTAAGCAATTAGGGGATTACAAAATCCCTTGCATTTTGTTTCGTGATGGATATGAAAATGGCCGGAGATTGTACGATAAATTCAATGGAAGGACTTGTCATCAATGCAGGTTCCTACGATCACTTAAATTTTTTCTTCCATTTCTTTATCTTAAATCATATATGAATTATTAATGATTTTACAGACAGAAAACTCTAGGCCTTCGCACTCAATGCAGCAGATGCAAGGGCTCGACTGGGATGTTATGTGGAGATTGTCTATACATAAGGTATGTACATTAAATCAGTGCAATTCAAGTGTAAGGAAATTAATATTTACTGCAGTAATATGTAACTGCAGTAAACGTAGAAAGAAAGAACTGCCACCTATTCCTTGTATTTATTCCAAGGTAATATTCTTAATTTTCCTTCCACAATTAATTTTTTTTGATTAATAATTAATTAATTGAATATTTAAATTTGCAGGCGTTGAGAAATGGTTACAAGTCCGTGGCACACTATCTTATTAACACTCACATTGTTAGTATGAATGGTGAAGGAGAGGCAACAAAAAAGGTCTAGATAAGCAGTTTGGTGTGTTGAACGTCCATTTATTTTGTGAACATGAAACAATTAATGATGTTTAAGTTCATCTATATTTTGAGAGCATTTAATTTGCTTGTAAATCTCTGTGATCATATTCGTTTGGAATCTTAGTAGGACGATGCTCACTTCACAATTCCATTTCAAGATCAATAACCATAGATTACAGCACCATGATTCAATTAATGTAGCATAGCATATCCTCATCGTCATCGATGATAAAAGAGATGGCTTCCTAAATGTATCGTACAAGTAATCTAATGAGGTTGACGATACTCCATTCAACATGCAATATGTTACATTAAGTCAAAATGTACTTAACAATGAGAGTCACAAGATGAAATGTGTGTGAAAAAGTAGAATAAAAAAGCCTTGTGCATGTTTAGAAAGTAGATCAATTTTCGGTTCCTAATTTTCTTAATAATAGATTAATTGTCCATGACATTATTTAGTTTACATTGCAAATCTGCATACAATTTTTTAGCTACAACCATGTGAGATTTTACTTCATGGAAGACAAATATTGGCGAAATACTATAAATGGATGTAAACATTTTGATCAAGTTATTCTGCAACAAAGTGACAAGAGACAATGCAAACTTCACTTATAAATTCTCTCTGATAGCGTGTAAAATTAGAGTATTTGTACCTATAGAAGAAAATGACTACATACTGTTTGGCAAAAAAGTGGTCATGTTNGTAGCATAGCAGATCCTCATCGTCATCGATGATAAAAGAGATGGCTTCCTAAATGTATCGTACAAGTAATCTAACGAGGTTGACGATACTCCATTCAACATGCAATATGTTACATTAAGTCAAAATGTACTTAACAATGAGGATCACAAGATGAAATGTGTGTGAAAAAGTAGAATAAAAAAGCCATGTGCATGTTTCGAAAGTAGATCAATTTTCGGTTCCTAATTTTCTAAATAATAGATTAATTGTCCATGACATTATTTAGTTTACATTGCAAATCTGCATACAATTTTTTGCTACAACCATGTGAGATTTTACTTCATGGAAGAAAAATATTGGCGAAATACTATAAATGGATGTAAACAATATTTTGATCAAGTTATTCTGCAACAAAGTGACAAGAGACAATGCAAACTTCACTTACAAATTCTCTCCGACAGCGTGTAAAATTAGAGTATTCAGACCTAAAGAAGAAAATGACTAATTACTGTTTTGCAAAAAAGTGGTTGTGTTGTAAAACTTGAGATTCCCCACTTTTGGGCTGAAATATCTTCTCCAAAGAGATCTAGCTGCAAGAATTATTCCCAAGTGATTCTGAAGTAATCGCAAGTCTACTATGTCAATTAAGCAAGTAGTAAATCGAATTTAAGCCCAAATTATTGTTCTCACTAGAACTATCTATCTAACAATTGATTCTAACTATGTCGAACAGCTATTCGAGTAAAAAAATTTAAATGTAATTTAAATTATGATCATAAATATTATAACTCTAAAAAAATAATTTAAAAAGTGCAAAAATAGACAATTTAGGATTTTAACTTATGTACAAGAAGTGTTATGGTTCACGAGTTCACCATAGTTATTCATTTAATTTCAATTACCAAATTCCAACAACAATCAATTATGTGTATCATTTCGAATTCTTCTAATTTGATTAATTTACTTATCTTGAGTTTAAACCAATGTTATTCAATTAAATTAACTTACTATATCTCAATGTAAATCAGGGTTTGTCTTAATTAAGAGTATAAAATCACAAAAAAATGATCGCAATGTTAGAAATGATATATCTCTACCTTCTACCCAAATTTCAATTTTTACTGTGAGGTCTAACCTAGTAACTCACGTCTCTGCTCGTTAACG